ATCATCATCATCATCATCATCGTCATCATCATCATCATCAGCATCAGCATCAGCATCATCATCATGATCATCATCATCATCATCATCGACGGCATCATCATCATCAGCGTCATCATCATCATCAGCATCATCATCATCACCACCATCATCATCCTCATCATCCTCATCATCCGCATCATCATCACCATCACCATCACCATCATCATCATCATCATCATCAGAATCAGCATCATCATCATCGTCATCATCACGATCATCATCATCATCAGCAGCAGCATCATCATCATCTTCAGCATCATCATCATCATCAGCAGCAGCATCCTCATCATCATCATAATCATCAGCAGCATCATCATCACCATCACCATCACCATCAGCATCATCATCATCAGCATCATCATCAGCGTCAGCGACATCAGCATCATCATCATCATCATCATCATCATCATCATCATCATCATCGTCAGCGTCATCAACATGCTTTTCATAACCAGCATCATCAGCATCATCATCAGCAGCAGCATCAGCATCAGCATCCGCATCGGCATCATCATCAACAATAACGGCATCAGCAACATCATCATCATCATCATCAGCCTCATCATCAGCAGCATCCACATCATCAGTATCATCATCAGCATCGTCATCATCATCATCATCATCAGCATCATCATCAGCTTCAGCGTCATCATCATCATCGTCATCATCATCACCATCAGCAGCAGCATCATCAGCAGCAGCACCAGCATCAGCATCATCAACATCAGCATCAGCAGCATCATCATCAGCAGCAACATCATCGGTATCGTCATCACATTCAGCAGCATCAGCATCATCATCATCATCATCAGCAGCATCAGCATCATCATCATCATCATCAGCAGTATCCTCATCAGCATCATCATCGTTATCGTTGTCATAATCAGCATCATCAGCATCATCATCATCAGCATCGTCATCATCATCGGCATCATCAGCAGCACCATCATAATCATAATCATCATCAGCAGCAGCATCATCATCATCGAAATCAGCATAATCAGCAGCATCATCATAAACACCACCACCAGCATCATCATCATCATCATCAGCATCATCATCAGCAGCAGCATCATCATCGTCATCATCATCGTCAGCAGCATCATCATCAGCATCGTCATCATCACAACCATCACCACCACCACCACGATCATCATCATCATCATCATCATCATCATCATCATCATCATCTGCAGCAGCAGCAGCATCAGCATCATCATCAGCATCAGCATCAGCATCAGCATCACCATCATCAGCAGCATCATCATCAGCATCTTCATCAGCATCATCAGAATCATCAGTTTCATCATCTGCAGCATCATCAGCAGCCGCATCAGCATCATCAACATCATCATCACCACCATCATCAGCATCATCATCATCGTCATCATCATCCCCTTCCTCCCCCTCCTCTTCTTATTGATAACATTATTTATTTGCATTGTCATTCGTATTAATACTGTGATTGTTAGTCTTACTATTGTTATTCCTGTGATTATTCGCATTAGTATTACTGTTATAGTGCTTATTCCTCATCCTCATCCTCCTGCTTTTCCTCCTCCTCCTCCTCCTCTTCCTCCTCCTCCTCCTCCTCTTCCTCCTCCTCCTCCTCCTCTTCCTCCTCCTCCTCCTCCTCCTCCTCCTCCTCCTCCTCCTCCTCCTCCTCCTCCTCCTCCTCCTCCTCCTCCTCCCCCTCCTCCTCCTACTCCTCCTCCTCTTCCTCCTCCTCGTGACCGACTGCAGAGGACACCCGAGAGGACACAAGTCTCTCTTCTTCGGGGGGACCACAAGGTAGGATAGCAAAGGGTAGGGTAGAGAATCAGTTCACGTAGCTGGTTCTCCTGGCGCCTCCTGGCGCTGGGAGGCGCCCATATGCATCGAGGAATGGGCCCGGCGACGGGGCCGAAATCAGCTGCATGCAGCAGATGTCGTACCCCCCCTTTCCCTATCCTACCCTTTCGTCTGGGTCCGGCCCGATCTTCCGAGGGCAGCCGGTGCCCAAGCCATGAAGACGACACGGAGCGCGATGGACAGGGCACACTGCTAGAGCAACAAAAAACGCCACAAGCCTAGCTTCGCGGAGGCCCGCGCGGGTGTCCTGGATCGGCGCTGGACCCCCCCCCGCTGGCGCGCGGAGCGCGCAAGGGCCGGCGCAGGAGGCGCCGCCAGGGGGCCCAACGCCGAACGAGCAAGTCTCAACCGACCCAAGAAATCTGCGCGGACCTCCGAGAAATTATGCTTAGGGCGCGTTTCACTCTTCGACACCAATCGAGTAGGGGATCGGCCATATAATTAATTTGCCCCAAACTCGATTTTCCCGTCGAATCTACGAACGATGGCGCAGAATGCTTCGCAGATCTACGGAGCATGCTGCGTACTGTTCGTAGAGTCGGCGAAAATAAAACTGGCGGGTGGATCAACTCTGAGGTCGATCCCCTACTCGAACACAAGGGGACCCTTGGCCCTGCAAGTCTTAACCGACTGACCAGACCCGGCTGCATCACGCCCGCGCAGAGCAGGTCGGCATGCCTCCCCCCAGCGGACCGGAGCGCCGCAGCGTGGGCAGACAGCCCCCGGCACACCCCGAAAGACGCTTCGAGCTCGGCCGACCATCCCGCCAGCGCCCACCACCATGATCAGAGAAACAGAGGAGGAGGAGGAGAAGGAGGAGGAGGAGGAAGAAGTGGGAGAGGAGGAGGGGGAGGACCGGAGGAGGAACAGAGGGAGAACAGGCAAGAGCCCATCATCAGAGAAACAGAGAGCGGCAGAAGCGTAAACTTGCGGAGCTCCGCGCAGGTTTCTCGGATCGGCGCCTGGCCCCACCGGCGGCGCCTCCGGCGCCACCCCTGGCGCGCTGCGCGCGCCAGGGATAGAGGGCGGTCCAGCGCCGATGCAAGGGATCCGCGGGGAGCTCCGAAAGTGTATGTTTATGCCGTTCTCTGCTCCTCTGCTCAAGACAGAAAAGGTTTCTCGGGCGCCGCTTCACGAGGGCGGGCAGCAGACGGGGGGCGACGAGAGGTGCACCTCTCGTGCACTCCCCAGGGGGGCCAGGGGGGCACCTTTGCGGCCCCTCCCTGGCGCGCGGAGCGCGCCAGGGGTGGCGCCGGAGGCGCCGCCAGGGGGGGCCCAGCGCGGATCGCTAAAAGTTATGTTCATGGCGCTTTTGTTGTCCTTCGAATAAAGAGCAGGAGGACCGGGAGGGACGGAGCTTTGCTCTGAGCCTGAGGCTGCAAAGAGGACTCCCAAGGGGCCCCCTTTGCAGCCCCTTCAGGGCCCCTTTCCTGCAGCCCTCGATCCACCCCCCCCTCTCTCGCCCCCCACGGCTACGAGACGCCCAACCCTCGCGGGTCCTCTTCGCGACAGGGGCGGCGCTGGAGCCGCCGCCAGGATTGTGGGGAGGGCAGGGCGGGTCCAGCGCTGGCTCAAGAAATACGCGCGGACCCGCAAAAGCCTCTCTGTCCATCTGGCTGCTTGCTCCCCGCAGGCCGAACCTTCCGCCAGCGCCCGTGAAGCGACGAGGGGGCAGCACTTCACTTCACGGAGCTCTGAGGCCTACCGCAGCCCTACCGAGCTGTCCGCTCACAGCGGACGGCAGCCAGGGCGGCAGCTGGCACTGCCGAAAAACGGGCTCTGGGTAGAGTGGAGCTTGCTTGCGCGACGCTGGTCTACCATCTCCAGCCTCGGAGACCGATGGGAAAGAGGGAGGGAGCGAGCGAGGAATAACAGGAGGAAGGGGGCGAGCGAGGAAAGAGGGAGGGAGGGGGCGAGCCAAGGAAAGAGGGAGGGAGCGAGCGAGGCAGGAAAACCTGCATAAACATCAACTTTCGGAGTTCCGCGCGGATTTCTTGTATCTGCGGCGCTGGAGGCGCCGCCGCGGGGCTGTTCGCGCAGATCCAAGAAGTCCACACGGAGCTCCGAAAGTTTATCTTTATTCCGTCGTTTCTTCTTCGAGGGAGGAAATTGGAAGGAGGGCAGGAAGGGAGGGGGGGCAAAGTAGAGGAGGAGCACGATAAGAAGGGTGAAGGGGATGAGGGGACAGGGCAAAGGAGGGGGAGACGGGAGGGGGGGCTCCGCTAGCGGCGCTTGTACGCCTCGTGGTCCGCGCAACCGTCGATCACGTTGACCGCTATGGCGCAGCTCCACCTGTCCTCGGCCTGGATGTCCTCTGGGGCGTCTGCGTCCTCTGGCCTCGGTGCGGCCTCCATTAGGCTGACCTCCTCCTCCTCCTCCTCCTCCTCCTCCTCCTCATCATCATCATCATCATATTATTATTATTCTTATTATTCGTCTTATTCTTCTTCTTATTATTATTCTTCTTATTATTATTCTTCTTATTATTAGTATTCTTATTATTATTATTCTTCTTCTTACCATTATTATGTTTATTATTATTAGCACTATGATCATTGTTATTCTTATTATCATTAGTATTATTACTAGTATTATTATTAATATTATTATTATTAGCATCATTATTATTATCATTATTATTATTATCACAGTTATTATTAAATTAATAATATTAATATTAATATAAATATTATTAATAATATTATTATTAGTATTATCAATATAAATGTTGATATTCTTATTAGTGATATTAATATAATTAATATTAATATTACTATTAGTAGTAGTAGTAGTAATAATATTATTATTAGTATTAGTATTACTAGTGTTATTATTATTATTATTATTAATATTATTCTTATTATTCTTATTTTCTTATTATTAATCATATTATTATTCCTCTTCCCCTTCCTCTTCCTCTTCCTCTTCCGCTTCCTCCTCCTCCTCCTCCTCCTCCTCCTCCTCCTCTTCCCTCCTCCCCCTCCCCCTCCTCCTCCTCCTCCTCCTCCTCCTCCTCCGCCTCCTCCTCCTCCTCCTTCTCCACCTCCTCCTCCTCCACAATAACTCAATATGAATACTACTTTCCCTCTTCCCCCGATGGCGGCCTGAAAGTAGCCGACCCCCCCCCGCAAACTGTTTTTTAACACACAGGATTCCCGGGAGTTGGGTTTTCGCCTGCGTTGTTGTTCAAAATGCTGCTCTCGCTGCGGCGCCGGCCTCAATTCTGTTCCCGAATCCTTCCGAATCGTGCTCCCGCTGCAGCGTGGGCCTCATTTTCGGATCGGTGTTTGGCCTCCGTCGTTCAGGATGGCGTTCTCGCCCCAGCGCGGGCCTCTTTCTCGCGCGCCCATCCACCCGCCACCACCGCGCCGCACCACCACCACCACCACCACCACAACCACCACCAGCCACCACCAGCACCAGCACCACCACACCACGCACCAGCACCAGCACCAGCACCAGCACCAGCACCAGCACCACCACAACCACGCACACACGCACGCACGCACGCACGCACGCACGCGCACCACCACCCACTACGCACGCGCGCGCGGAGCCACAGGTCCGCTACGACACGCGTCCGCGGATAGAGAAAATCAGCGCCATGGTAAGGGATGGGAGGGAGGGGTAGGACGTCAGATATGACGCGAGCGCACCTAGCTTG